CAATCAACATAAATAGAAGTATTAAATAAACAATAATAGAGAACATACCTGTAATCCCAGCACTTTGGGAGGCTGAGCTGGGCAGATCACGTGAAGCCAGGAATTCAAGAACAGCCTGGCCAACATGGCAAAACCCCGTCTCTACTAAAAATACACAAATCAGCCAGGCACGGTGGCACATACCTGTAATCCTAGCTAGTCCGGAGGCTGAAGCACGAGAACCGCTTGAACCTGGGAGGTGGAGGTTGCAGTGAGCTGAGACAGTGCCATTGCACTCCAGCCTGGGTGACACAGTGAGACCCTGTCTCAGATAGTAATAGAGAGGGCTTGAGACATAGCATTGCCATGGTGATGATATTCAGGAAACACCGGCTTTGCCACCCTGAGCCACACTTTTTCTTCTTCCCTACAAGGCCAGACGGAAGTTGCGCCCGGTGGCTGGTGTGAGGAGGTCAGGCACAGCAAGACGCAGCACAGGTGGCAGTTACCGTCACAGGCTTTGCCTGTGCCTGGGTCTGTGTCCCAGAGCACGTGCTTGCCGGCTGTGTGATTTTGAGCAAACTGCTTGACTTCTCTTCTCTGTTCCTTATTTGTGTGGTGTTTTCTAACATCAGTTCTGACACCAAATGTGTTTTTTCTGATACCAAATACTTGTCCCTTATTTACACTAAGTCTCCGATTTTTTTTTTTTTTTTCAGACAGAGTCTTGCTCTGTCGCCCAGGCTGGAGTGCAGTGGTGCAATCTTGGCTCACTGCAGCCTCCACCTCCCGGGTTCAGGAGTAGCTGGGACTACAGGCATGTGCCACCACACCCAGCTAATTTTTGTATTTTTTTTTAATTTTTGTATTTTTAGTAGAGACGGGGTTTCACCATGTTGGTCAGGATGATCTCAATCTCCTGACCTCATGATCTGCCCACCTCAGCCTCCCAAAGTGTTGGGATTACAGGCGTGAGCCACAGTGCCTGGCCAGCTCTGATTCTTGGATGCCAACTGGGTGACCAGGCAATTCAATTCAACTCTCACACCATGTCCTGGTGTTAGCATGAGATCCTGCATGTGAAAAGTCCCCATCCCACCAGCCTGCCCCCACCACGGATGCCAGTCGCAAGTCCGGAGCCACCCACCCTTCTGCCTGGCCAACTACACGCTTGGGGGTTCCCACGACCACTCCTTAGGTTTGATATTTTGCTGGAATGACTCACAGAACTCAGTAAAGTCCTTTCCTTATAAACATAAGTTGATTACAAAGGGCAGAACTCAGGAATAGACAAATGGAAGAGAGACGCATTGGGCAAGGTGTGGAGAGGGAGCCATGTGAAGCTTCCATGATGCCCTTCATAGGAAGTAGAAAAGTTCTTTGTTGGATACATCTTCATAGCAATGTGTAAGAAAAACAAAACAAAAGTTCTTCAAAGTTTCCTTTCTTGTTAAAGAAGAATAATAATAAATGTTAGATTTGGGAGGCCGAGGTGGGTGGATCACGAGGTCAAGAGATCGAGACCATCCTGGTCAACATGGTGAAACCCCGTCTCTACTAAAAATACAAAAATTAGCTGGGCATGGTGGCGGGTGCCTGTAGTCCCAGCTACTCGGGAGGCTGAGACAGGAAAATTGCCTGAACCCAGGAGGTGGAGGTTGCAGTGAGCCGAGATTGCGCCATTGCACTCCAGCCTGGGTAACAAGCGTGAAACTCCATCTCAAAAAAAAGAAAAAAGAAAGTATCTTTTAAGAACTTTCTTCAAAGCCTTCTTGCTTTTTACTAGAGACTCTTTGTTAAGCCCTACTTATATAGCTGTTAGACACACTTACAGGCACATAGTACATTCTGTGTCCTTGTACTTTAACCAAGATATCTGTGCTGTACGTGCTCACAGGCATGGCCTAGCTCGCAGCCTATGCCCCTTCCTTGTTTAAACTTCCTTTATGTTCTCCATTGCTTTTACCTGTTTAGAAAAGTTTTAAGTTGTTAGCCAATCAAGTTTTAGTTTTAGATTGTGAGGACTGCCTCCAGCCAATGGAGATCAGACACAGCAGTAAGGATGATCCCAAATGCACACAGGATAAATATGTCTGCTTTTCCTTTATTCGTTGTACTCTCATGGCAAGATGGCTAACGAAGGCACCCTTTCTGTTGACAGTAAAGATTGCGTTGCTGAGAGATCCTTTGTCTCAGTGCTGATTTTTCTTTGTAGCACCAAACATCTGTTTCAAACACTCTCTCTGGTTGCACCGCCCTCCCAGCACACCAATGTGTCCACCGACCCAGAGGTTTCCTGGATTTCCTGTTCAAGAGCTTTTATAATTCAGTCACCAGCCTCCTCTTCTTTCTGGCAGATCAGCGAGTGGGACTGAATGTTGCCCACCACAATTTTTTTTTTTTTTTTGAGATAGGGTCTTGCTCTGTCACCCAAGCTGGAGTGCAGTGGTGTGATCATAGGTCACGGCAGCCTCAACCTCCTGTGTTCAAGTGAGCCTCCTGCTTCAGCCTCACAAGTAGCTGAGACTACAGGTGTGTGCCAACATGCCTGGCTAATCAAAAAAAAAATTTTTTTTGTAGAGATGAAGTCTGTGCTATGTTGCACAGGCTGGTCTCAAACTCCTGGGCTCAAGAGATCCTCCTGCCTCAGCCACCCAAGTAGCTGGGATTACAGGTGTGAGCCACCGCATCTGGCAGTGCCCCCACCCCCATCTTTATCACACGTTTGCTCTTCTGGTGACGAGGCCCTGTCCTGAAGCCATCTCTCTAGGGAACTCAGCCTGAGTGCCCTCATTAGAATAAACTCAGATGTGGTACAGTGGGGATTGCTACAGATAACAAAAGATATGCCTATCACTCAGGAAATTTCAGGGGTTTTAAGAGCTCTGTGCCAGGAACCAGGGATAAAGACCAAAGAGATATTTTATTAAGCCACACTAGTGGCTTAATGAATTACATACTAGGGATTTCTTTTGTCAGGGAGCAGATGAGATAAGATATATAAAAAAGATATTATGGTACCTAACCACATAATAACTGCTCAGTAAATGTTAGCAGTGAAACAGGGGAGCTCCCTTGACCCCTTTTTGGGACTTGTGACAGGGTGTGCCTCACTTGGCTGCCACTGTGCTCAAACCCCTTGCAGGAGGGAGAGCATGCAGGCGAGTGGATTGCAGCTAGGAGGAGTGCTTTTGAGCTCTGGTCCCATGGCAGGATCTAGGGGTGTTTTACAATTAATGCTCTTTTAGCAGTTGCTGTCTGCAGATGACGAAGTGTTAACCAGCTCAGTGGAGAGTCAGCTCCACTGACTCTTTTACACCCTGCCCTCTTGGTACCTGGGTTCTTCTCTGGTGTCCAGGAATAATCAGGTCACATGGAATTGAAGGACAGTGAATGAAGATTTTTTACTAAGTGGTGGAAGTGGCTCTCAGCAGAAGGGGAGCTGGAAAGGGAATGGAGTGGGAAGATAATCTTCCCCTGTAGTTCGGCCATCCTGGGCTGAATTCCTCTCCAACCGTTCCTAGCCAAACTCCTCTTGATGTTCAGACACTTCTCTTCTCTGCTTCTCTGCTGCACCACTCTGCTGCTCTTCTGCTTGTGAAGCCTGGGGTTTGAGGTTCTTATGGGCACAGGATGGGGGCACGGCAGGACAGAGTGGTCTTGTAAAAGGCAACATTTGGCTGCAAAAACAGGAATATCTGTTCTCATTTAGAGCTGCAGTTCCAGGCTTGAGGGTGCAGCCCTCATCAGGGACTCTGTCCTCCTGCCTCCTCTCCGTATCAGCAGGATGCTACTGCTGCTGCTGATATATGGGAAACTGCCAGATGTGAAGTGGATGTTAGAAATATTTCAGGCTTGGCACAGTGGCTCAATCCTATAATCCCAGAACTTTGGGAGGTAGAAGGAGGAGGATTGCTTGAGCCCAGGAGTTTGAGACCAGCCTGGGCAACATCACAAGAACTCTTTTCTACAAAAAATTTTGAAACGAGCTGGGTGTGGTAGTGTGCACCCACAATCCCAGCTACTCAAAAGGCTGAGGTGGGAGGATCCCTTAAACCTGAGAGGTCAAGGCTGCAGTGAGCTATGACTATGCCACTGCATTCCAGCCTGGGCCATAGAGCAAGACCCTGTCTCTAAAATACAATTGAAAAATTTTTTTTCAATTGTATGTGTTCCTAAGAAGCCATAAAAGAGTCTTTTGTTATGCTTTTCTTTCTTTTTTTTTTTGAGACAGAGTCTTGCTCTGTTGCCAGGCGCCAGGCTGGAGTGCAGAGACACAATCTTGGCTCACTGCAATCTCCACCTCTTGGGTTCAAGCAGTTCTCCTGCCTCAGCCTCCCATGTAGCTGGGACTACAGGCATGCGCAACCATGCCCAGCTAATTTTTGTATTTTTAGTAGAGACGGGGTTTCACCATGTTGGCCAGGATGGTCTTGATGTCTTGACCTCGTGATCCACCTGCCTTGGCCTCCCAAAGTGCTGGGATTACAGGCTTGAACCACCACGCCTGGTCTGTTATGCTTCTTAAATAAAAATTAACTAACAATTAGAAATAAGGAAGAATGTTTTTTCCATGTCATACAAGGCATTGTTTAATGACCTGTCCACGGATGATTAATTATCTTGGACAGAATACATGTATCCGACTTTGTTATTTATTATTTGATTAGAGCGCTGACATAGTGAAATTACATGTTAACTTGTAGATTTCTGTCCAGTAGAAAAAAGACAACATTAAAGGTTGTGATTTTATTGCCCTTATACCATGTTAACCAGATTTGTCTCACATTTCAACATCTTATGCTAAGATTGTTATTAAAAATGCAATGAATCTACTTTTTAAAAATTGTACTTTAGGTCCTGGGGTACATGTGAGGTCATGGAGGGTTGTTGCATAGGTGCATCCGTAACCAGGTGGTTTGCTGCCTCTATTCCCCCTTCATCTGTATCCGGTATTTCTCCCCATGTTATCCCTCCCCACCCTCCCCATCTGCTGCTGTCCCTCCCCTGGACCCCTCCAACTGACCCCAGTGTGTGATGCTCTTCTCCCTGAGTCTATGTGTTCTCATTGTTCAACATGGAATCTCCCTCTATTGCCCAGGCTGGAGTGTGCGATCTCAGCTCTCTGCAACCTCCACCTCCCGGGTTCAAGTAATTCCCCTGCCCCAATCTCTTGAGTAGCTGGGACTACAGGCACATGCCACCCAGCTAATTTTTTGTATTTTTAGTAGAGATGGGGTTTCACTGTGTTAGCCAGGTTGGTCTCAATCTGCTGACCTCATGATCCGCATTCCTTTAGCCTTCCAATGTGCTGGGATTACAGGTGTGAGCCACCACGCCCAGCCGAATCCACTTTTTTAATGCCCTTGGAGTAAGCTTTATCATATTACTGGTTCCCTCATTAATGGGTTAATAAATTTTTTGACAAGCATTCATTTGTCATTTGTATGAGTCACGTTTTAAATTCCGAAAACATACTTCAGCATGATCATAACGCCAAGTCCCAGAGAGTGCTCTGCGCCCATAATTTAGTTCACCGCGCACATTCCCAGAGCACATTCTGTACACAAGGCATCATGGTGAGCCCCGCAGGGAAGACTGAAATGGGTGGGACTGGTGCCTATAGACGCAGATCTCATAATTACTTGTGGGCAGACAGGAAGTTTATAAGTTACTTCCTACATTATGAGAAAGAGAAAAGCAGCCCATGGCAGCCAGGAGCTGGCTTGACACACAGCTTGGCCAGTGTTCTCCTGTTGAACGTCAACAATTTTGCAGATTGCCGGCATCAGACAAGGCCGTCCTGAGACCGCGATAGATCAAGACAAAATAACACTACCCCTGAAGGCAGGTAAAGACATGAACATTGTCCCAACCACAAAAATCACCAACAGCCCCATTTCCTAGCTCGTATGAGTGACTGCTGCTTCTCCATCAATCACAGTGTCAGTCTCACTCGGTTCTTCTCCCCTTAAAGGAAAGAATTATGAAGACACTATCAGAGAATTACCTTCACTTCCTGACAACATTCAATCCAAAATAAATGCCCGCTGCCTTTAAACTGCCCCGCAAAGCATCTAACACAAGCCCAAATTTATTTTCTTTTTCCCTCCCCTCCCCTTCCCTCCACTCCTCCCTTCCCCTCCCCTCCTTTTTTTTTTTGAAGCAGAGCTTCATTCTTGTTGCCCAGGCTGGAGTGCAATGGCGCAATCTCGGCTCGCTGCAACCTCCACCTCCCAGGTTCAAGCAGTTCTCCTGCATCAGCTTCCTGAGTAGTTGGGATTACAGGCAGCTGCTGCCACGCCCGGCTAATTTTTGTATTATTAGTAGAGACAGGGGTTTCACCATGTTGGCCATGCTGGTCTTGAACTCCTGAAGTCAAGTGATCCGCCTGCCTCGACCTCCCAAAGTGCTGGAATTACGGGTGTGAGCCACCGCACCTGGCCCTTTTATTTATCTATCTATCTATCTATCTATCTATCTATCTATCTATCTATCTAACTATCTATCCATCCATCCATCCATCTATCATATCATCTATCGACATGAAGTTTTACTCTTTCACCCAGGCTGGAGTGAAGTGGTGCAATCTTGGCTCACCACAACCTCCACGCCCCCACCCCCCACCACCAGTTCAAGCAATTCTCCTGTCTCAGCTTCCCAAATAGCTGAAATTATAGGCGCCCACCACCACACCTGGCTAATTTTTGTATTTTTAGTAGAGACGGGGTTTCAGGCTGGTCTTGAACTCCTGACTTCAAGTGATCCACCTGCCTCAGCCTCCCAAAGCGCTAGGACTACAGGTGTGAGCCACTGTACCTGGCCCCAAATTTTCTAAGTTCTTTCTAAAACCCTCCTACTGATATCTGCCCAGAGCTGATTAGGTGAAAGCTTAGCCCAGTACCAGTCCATAGAAGACGCTGCAGACTCGCTAAGATGATATTGATATATGAGGGAGAAAATGGTCCCCATCCGGACTTCCCTTAGAGAGAAGACTTGGTGTGGTTGCTGGGAACACTCTGAAGCTTGTTTTGGTTAGGGTTGTTCGCTACAAGCAATAGAAACCAGTTCTGCCTGACTCAACCAAAAAATGGGGCTGTAGAACGCTGTCAGTGGGGATGGGGACTCAGGAGTCAGAAGAAACAGGCTTGGAAATGAGTATGGATCAAGAAATCCTTGGAGACTGGTCACAGGACCAGTCTGGCCAGGAGGCCGCCAATGCTGGATAGCAAGAGTCTAATCCCACCATCTTTTCATCTCTGTCATTGGCTCTGTGGTCAAAGTCTTGGACACGAGCTTCTGATCGGCTGAGTCTGAGGAAGTGGGGGTGCTCCCTTGTTGACCTTCTCTAATAATGACTGAAACAGTGAATGCTTCCTCTAAATCTAGGGTTTGGAGGTTGAGCAGCCAAAAATTCCAACTTTTTTCCATTACAAGAGGGAGACTCAACCCCACCCAAGACCATGTGTGAATAACAATAGGTGGTCTCTAAACAGCCTTCCGTGGCCAGGAACAGTGGCCAAAGAAAGTCTTAGTTTTCTGGTTTTCTGTTTTTTTTTTTTTGTTTTGGAGATGGAGTCTCGCTCTGTCACCCAGGCTGGAGAGCCGTGGCATGATCTTGGCTCGCTGCAATCTCCGTTTCCGGGTTCAAATGATTCTCCTGCCTCAGCCTCCCAAATAGCTGGGACTACAGGTGCGTGCCACCACACCTGGCTAATATTTTGTATTTTTAGTAGAGACGGGGTTTCACGATGTTAGCCAGGATGCTTTCCATCTCCTGACCCTGTGATCTGCCCGCCTCAGCCTCCCAAAATGCTGGGATTACAGGCGTGAGCCACCGCACTCGGCCAGAAGGTCTTCATTGACAGAAGTCAAAGAAGAGGATGGGGCCCAGGCACAGGGGCTCATGCCCATAATCCCAGCACTTTGGGAAGCTGAGGTGGGCAGATCGCTCGAGGCCAGGAGTTTGAGACCAGATTGGGCAACACGGTGAAACCCCGTCTCTATGAAATATAGAAAAATGAGCCAAGCATGCCAGGGCGCACCTGTAGTTCCAGCTACTCAGGAGGCTGAGGCAGGAGGATGTCTTGAGCCTGTAAAATTGAGGCTGCAGTGACCATGACCAAGCAGCTGCACTCCAGCCTGCGTGACAGAGCAAGATCCTCTTTCCCCATCTTAAACAAACAAGTAAAAACACGTACACACAAATCCCGGCCTTCTAAGCAAAGTCAGGCCTGCTACCTGCAGGATTTAGATTTGTTTTCCAGAGCGTTATGCTGAACTGGTATCAGAGCTAAATTACTTGGAACAATTGTTCCTGGATCAAACTGAGGGTAGGGCTGCTCTTCTAGTGGCCCAATGACGAGATGCGGGTGAACTGGGAAAGGAGGGAGTTTCTATTTCTGTTACCAGTTACAGGAAGAAGGCCTGGAAAATACCACTGGACAAACTCAAAATTACAAAGTTTTCCAGAGCTTACATAACTTCCAAGCTATATGTCTAGTGTAAGTGTACATTCATCTAAAGACCTAAGTGATTAGCTTCTTCTAATCTATAACTAAGGTCTGAGTCCTGAAGACCTTTCTCTGAAGCCTCAGTAACTTAGTCTAAATGGGCCCAGGTGCTGGGCGATTACCCTTATCTTGTCTCCTGCTAAATCAAGGAGGTTTGGGGAGTTCCTTCAGATCCCCGACAACCTTGTCTGAGGAGGCCTGGGGAGTTTCCTCAGGTCCCCAATAAAACGTGTTTAGTCCTAAATGGTCCTGTGAAGAATTCCTTCCTTATCTTGTCATGCCTCAAGGCCCAGGAACAGCCTGGGCAAAACTCTTGGGGAGTTTTTGTTAATTCCAGCCTTTGTATAAGGGCACTGGCTCTCTAAGCGTTTTTTTTTTTTTTTTTCCTTTTGAGACAGAGTGTTGCTCTGTCACCCAGGCGGAGTGCAGTGGCATGATCTCGGCTCACTGCAACCTCTGCCTCCCGGGTTCAAGTGATTCTCCTGCCTCAGCCTCCTGAGTAGCTGGGATTACAGGCGTGTGCAATCATGCCCAGCTAACTTATGTATTTTTAGTAGAGATGGAGTTTCACTATGTTGGCCAGGCTGGTTTCGAACTCCTGACATCAGGTGATGCACCCAGCTCGGCCTCCCAAAGTGTTGGGATTATAGGCATAAGCCACCATGTCTGGCCGACTCTTTCAGCTTTTAATATTTAACTTAACCACACAGTCCATGCTGAAACAGCTGTCATGGAGGCCTGCGTTAATGAGACCTGGCCGGCCACACAATGAAGGAGACATTCTTCATTGTGATAATGTGGGCATCTGAATCAGGCTACACAAGCGATTCTCCCACCTCAGCCTCCTGAGTAGCTGGGACTACAGACGCGCGCCACCACACCCAGCTAATTTTTGTGTTTTTTAGTAGAGACAGGGTTTCACCACGTTGGCCAGGATGGTCTCCATCTCTTGCCCTCGTGATCCATCCGCCTCAGCCTCCCAAAGTGCTGGGATTACAGGCGTGAGCCATCACGCCTGGCTGAGATTTGTGTAGTACAAATTAACTAAAATTGCATAGTTCCTGTCAAGGTTCAAGCGATCCTCCCACCTCAGCCCCCCAAGTTGCCGGGACTACTGCTGCCACCACGCCTGGCTAATTTTTGTACTTTTTAGAAGAGACAGGGTTTTGCTGTGTTGCCCAGGCTGGTCTCAAACTCCTCAGCTCAAGTGATCCACCTGCCTCAGCCTCCAAAGTGTTGGGATTACAGGCATGAGCCACTGTGCCCGGCCTGAAAGCATTTTAGAAGGCTCCTGACTGCAAGAACGGGACAAAGTAGGGGAGTACGGGAGCAGAGGGTGACAGCCTGGTATATCTGGTTGGCATATGTAGGCAGTCTGTTGTAGTGGCAATTGTCAGGGCTCTGGAGTCAGACTGTCTTCTTTCAAATCTTGTAAGCTGTGTGATCTTGGGTGATTTACTTAACCTCTCTGAGACTTCTATAAAGTGGAGATTGACAAAACCACACTATAGATGATGAGGTTGGGCTGGATGCAAATCAGCTTTTGTTGGTATCAGCTTGAGAGGAGGGATGGACTTGGGAGTGGAGAGGGTGGATGTGGGAGAGGGGATGCCGCACAGCGGCAGGAACTTGCAGCAGGTGACTGAGAATGGAAGGCACAAGAGAGCCCAGATGCTGAAACTGCTCAGAATAGAAACAGTATTGATAGCAAAATGCAAAGCAGTATCACTCGAATGACGGATGTTTAATTGGATTTCTCCAGGGCTGACTCACCGCCTTTGATAGATGTGATTGCCCTCGTGGCGTCTATTATGAGATGTGAAATTTTTCCACCTGCACCTGCAGTCTTTAGGTCTTGTTTCAACAAAATGCAGAACTGTGTGTACTCCCCATGCCTGCTGGCCTTCCTTCCCTTCCTTCTGTATTTACTCCGATGTGTCAGGCACGGGGTGGTGTGCTAGAATCATGAAGGAAAAAGGCAAAGTCCCTTAAAGGAGGTGCAGTCTGTTGAGGGAGAAATGCAATGAAATGCCTAGGTGGGTCTGGGATGCCTAGATGTCAGTGGGATAACAAGGGGGCTATGGCTGCATGTTGGAAACAGTTGCTCGGTGCCACAAAGATAAATCAGCACTGAGACAAAGCGTCTTTTAGCAACACAATTTGTACTTCCTGGACTGCAGGAAGGGGACCCTCGCCAGCCATCGTGCATGAGAGCACAATGAACAAAGGAAAACGCACAAATTTATCCCTTACGCATTTGGGGTTGTCCTTACTGCTGTGTCTGATCTCTGCTGGCTGGAGCCACACCTCACAATCTAAACTAAAACCCGATTAATAACTTAAAATTTTTTAAACAGGTAAAAGCAATAGAAAGCTGAGACATGCGTGTGAGCACGTCCAGCACAGATATCTAGGTTAAAGTACAAGGACATAGAATATACTATGTGCCTGTAAGCATGGCATGTTTAACAGCTACATAGGATAGGGCTTAACAAAGTTATTAGCATGATTATTTTTTAACAAGAAAGGACACTTTAAAAAGGAACTTTTCTACTTCGCACACTGCATGAAGGAAGAGGCCCTGATGCAGCTGAGAGCATCAGGAAGATTCCAGAAGGAGAAGGGATTAGTGAAGCTGCAGAGGAATTAGTAAAGGTGTGCTGAGCTGGGGGAGGAGTTGGGCAAAGGCTTGACAGACATGGGGCCAGGATTTACACAGGCATGCGCATGGGCTGTGTATCAGTCTGTTCTGACACTGCTGTAAGATACTACCTGAGACTGGGTAATTTATAAAGCACAGAGGTCTAATTGACTCACAGTTCTGCCTGACTGGGAGGCCTCAGGAAACTTACAGTCCTGGCAGAAGGTGAAGGCAAAGCAAGCACGTCTTACATGGTGGCAGGAGAGAGAGAGCAAGAGAGAAAAAGAGTGAGGAAGTGACACATTTAAAACCATCAGCTCTCTTGAACTGCACTCAAGCGATCCTCCCACCTTGGCCTCCCAAAAGGCTGGGGTAACAGGCAGGAGCCACCTCACCCTCCCTGGAGTTTCACCTCTGTTCACATCTTTAATTATTTCTGGGCCAGCGTAGCCAAGGGCATTCGAGGTAGAGTTAGGGACACCAAGGGCCAGTCTTCTATCCCCTTCACAGCTCGCTGGGCCCTCCAAGGGAAGGACTTGTGTCTCATTCTAGGCATTAACTTGGTCAGAGTATGGGGAAAAACATAGGAAATAAGAAATGAACTCACAGGGTTGGACATGGTGGCTCACACCTGTAATCTCAGCACTTTGGGAGGCTGAGGTGGGCAGATCACCTGAGGTCAGGAGTTTGAGACTAGCCTGGCCATCATGGTGAAACCCTGTCTCTACTAAAAATACAAAAATTAGCTGAGCATGGTGCTGCGCATTTATAATCCCAGTTACTCAGGAGGCTGAGGCACAGGGATTGCTTGAACCTGTCCGACCTACCCTCTACGGGAAGACAGAGTTCGTTCAGAAAAAAAAAACGGGCCGCAGGTTAGAAGAAAGTCTTAAGTTCAGGCTTTATTGAGAAGAAAGAGCCTCCGGGCGGACCAGCCGGGAAGAACAGGAAAATGGCCGCGCCGCTCAGAGGAGCAGGGTTCTTTTATAGGGGGCTGAAGGGCTGAGGGAGTGGGGAGCTGAGAGAGCTGAGGTGGCGGGCAACGGTTGGTCAGTTTAAACTGCTGGGCGGGAAGCCGGGGGGCAGGAAGCTGGGGAGTGCTGATGAGGCAGGCGGTGATTGGTCAGCCGGTTGCAGGGCGGGAGGTGGCTGTGGCCGGGCAGGAAGGCTAGAGCGGTATGTAGAGTGAGAGATAAGGGAGCCTCTTTGTGGGGGAGGGAAAGAGAGCTTTCACGGTAGGGGCAGAGTTTTCCAAACAGAACCCAGTAGACAGAGGTTACAGTGAGCCAAGATCACACCACTGCATTCCAGCCTGGGCGACAGAGTTAGACTCTGTCTCAAAAAAGAAAGAAAGAAAGAAATGAACTTACAACACTGACTGTGTCCTTTGAAGGAGCAAAGGATGTGCAGAGGGCTTAGTGCCAGGTAGTATTAGTGAGCATGTGTGAGAAATCTGTTGGTCAACTTTACATGCACTGGGCACAGTCCAATTCCCCGCCAGAGCCAGGAGAAGAAAACAAGCTCAGGTCTCCGACGAAGCAGTGGGGTGGGAAGAACCCTTCTGTCTTGCCATGTGGCCTTGGTAGCTGGCCTCATCCTCCGTGTCTGTTGAAAGTGAAAATGGATCAGGGGGGCTGGCACACAGTACGCACTCAAGAACTGTTTTCTGGATGAGTCAGGGAATCGGTGAACAGCATTCACCCTTCTGGGCATTGATTTCTTCATTCATGTAAGGTGAGAGCTCTTCTAGCTGCAAACATTTGTTTAGGGCCTGGCCCAGTGGCTCGCATGTTATCTCAGTACTTTGGGAGGCCCAGGCCGGAGAATGGCTTTAGCCCCGGAGTTTGAGACCAGCCTGAGTGACATAGTGAGACTCCCACCTCTACAAAACATTATTTTTGTTTGTTTGTTTGAGATGGAGTCTCACTCTGTTGCCCAGGCTGGAGTGCAGTGGCATGATCTCAGCTCACTGCAGCCTCCATCTCCCAGGTTCAAGCAATCTCCTGCCTCAGCCTCCCGAGTACCTGTGATCACAGGCATGCACCGCCATGCTCAGCTAATTTTTGTATTTTTAGTAGACACGGAGTTTCACCATGTTGGCTGGCCTGGTCTTGAACTCGTGACCTCAACTGATCCACCTGCCTCGGCTTCCCAAAGTATTGGGATTACAGGCGTGAGCCAACTTGCCTGGCCCAAAACATTTTTTAAAAATTACCCAGGTGCGGTGGCATGCATCTGTAGTACCAGCTACTTGTGAGGATGAGGCAGGAGGATTGCTTGAGCCCAGTGGGTCAAGGCTGCGGTGAGCTATGATTACACTCCTGTACTCCATCCAGCCTGGCCAAGACAGAGAGACCTTATCTCAAAAAAAGAAAAAGAAAAGGAAAGAAACTTCCTTAGTCTCTGAATACTTACCATGGTTCTTTCTGAAGACCAGAGGTCAGCAAAATATTTCTGTAAACGGCCAGGTACTAAATATCTTAGGATCTACAGTGTACAGTCTCTGTCGGGATTACTCACTTCTGCCACTGTCGTGAAAAGCAGCCACACTGTTGCAGAAATGAATGGATGTGATGTTGTTCCAATAGCCCATTCTTTACAGACACTAGGCTTTGAATTTCGTATCATTTTCATACATCAGAAAATGTTATCCTTTTGATTCCCCCAACTATTTAAAAATGAAAATCAAACTATTCTTAGTTCCTGAGCTGTACCGAAACAGGCAGTGGGCCAGGTTTTGGCTGTGGGCTGTAGTTTGCCAACCCCAGCTGAAGACTGATGAGCAAACACATCTTCCAGGAATCCCTTGGAGTGTCTCAGAAGTTCAAAGAGAGTGCTCTCTCTCCTTTGTGTGTAAATACTGATCACCGTCTTCCAGTCTGGGTTTCACAGACACATTGCCATGCCATGCTCTCACTCTAGAACCTAAGACGGCTCCCATGTTAAGGTTCTTCACAACCCAGGCACATATGTCCATGAAATGTCCTAATTGGGCAGACTCTTCATTGTCACCTACCCTGGCATACCACACCCATTCCTAACATTTGTCTCACCTCCCCGCCTCTCTGAATGCCTGGAATCTCTTTCTGACCCCCTCCAAGTTGAGCCCCTCCTGTAAGTTGCACCTCGATTGGAGCGACCTTCTCCCAGACGGTCTGACCCCTGTCTTCCTTGAACTCCACTTTCACACCCCCAGTTGAGAGCATGGGCTCTGAGATCAGACTGCACAGGTTCAGGTTCCTATCACTTACTTTGTGACCTTAAACAAGTTCTTTATCCTGAGAGGAGATAATAGGCCAAGAGCAGTGGCTCACACCTGTCATCCCAGCACTTTGGGAGGCCGAGGCGGCGGATCAACTGAGGTCAGGAGTTCAAGACAAGCCTGACCAATATGGAGAAACCCTGTCTCTACTAAAAATTCAAAATTAGCTGGGCATGGTGGCGCATGTCTGTAATCCCAGCTACTCAGGAGGCTGAGGCAGCAGAATCGCTTGAACCAAGGAGGCGAAGGTTGTGGTGGGCCAAGATCATACTGTTATACTCCAGCCTGGGCAACAAGAGTGAATCTCCATCTCAAAATTTAAAAAATTTAGAAATAATAATAATAGTCTTTACCTCATAGAGTTACTGCAAGAGTTTACTGAGATGATTTGTGTAAAATGCTTAACCCAGAGCCTGACACCAGTAAGTGCTAGCAATTATACTTGTGTTGTTTGATTTTTTTTTTTTTTTTTTTTTTTTTTGGAGATGGAGTCTCACTCTGTCACCAGGCTGGAGTGCAGTGGTGCAGTCTCGGCTCACTGCAACCTCCATCTCCTGGGTTCAAGTGATTCCTCTGCCTCAGCCTCCCAAGTAGCTGGGACCACAGGCACACGCCACCACCCTGGCTAGTTTCTTGTATTTTAGTAGAGATGGGGTTTCACCATGTTAGCCAGGATGATCTCAATCTCCCAACTTCGTGATCCACCCACCTCAGTCTCCCAAAGTGCTGGGATCAGAGGCGTAAGCCACCACGCCCGGCCTGTTTGATGTTTTTCGTGAGGCCATATTTATGTAATATTTGTAAAATGTTTTAAATGGACCAAGCTGGGTGTGGTGGTGCATGCCTATATATGCCTGTGTTCCCAGGTCCTTGGCAGGTTGAAGCAGGAGGATCCCTTGAGCCCAGGAGTTCAAATCCAGCCTGGGCAACATAGTAAGACCCTGCCTCTAAAAAAGAAAAAAAGGACCAATTATCCTTTTAGGTCTAAAACAAAAGTAACTAAGCAGTACTGGTTTCTTTTTGTTTGTTTGTTTGTTTTTTGAGACTGGGTCTCTCTCTGTCAAGGCAGAGACAGCTGGTCACCCAAGTCAAGAAAATTAACTCTTTTTTTTTGAGACGGAGTTTCACTCTTGTTACCCAGGCTGGAGTGCAATGGCGCGATCTTGGCTCACCGCAACCTCCGCCTCCTGGGTTCGGGCAATTCTCCTGCCTCAGCCTCCCGAGTAGCTGGGATTACAGGCATGCACCACCATGCCCAGCTGATTTTTTGTATTTTTAGTAGAGACGGGGTTTCACCATGTTGACCAGGATGGTCTCGATCTCTTGACCTCATGATCCACCCGCCTTGGCCTCCCACAGTGCTGGGATTACAGGCTTGAACCACCGCACCCGGCCGAAAATTAACTCTTTTTAAAAGTCAGTCCTTGCCTCCCAGGTTGGAGTACAGTGGCTTGATCATGACTCACTGTAGCCTCAACCTCGTAGGCTCAAGCGATCCTCCCACCTCAGCCTCCCTGGTAGTTGGAACCACGGGCACACACCACCAGGCACAGCTAATTTTTTTATTGTGTAGAGACAGGGTTTCTCTATGTTGCCCAGGCTGATCTCAAACTCCTGGACTCTTTCAATCCTCCTGCCTCAGCCTCAAAGTGCCAAGGTTACAGGCATGAGCCACTGTGCTCAGCCATATTTTTTATATCATACATACAGGAAAGATGAGTATTAGTAATTTTTATCCTAAGAAAAATCAAAACTCAGGCAGTCTAGAAAGCCCTTGGAAGAGAGAAGAATGAACTGTGCTTGAGGAAGTTGGCATTTGTTTGGTAGCAGAGTGGCAACAAGGATCCTGAAGAAGGTGACATTGGTTTGGGAATAAGTGTCTGGTTATAATGAAAGGAGAGGCTGGTGTGACAGGTGGATGTTAATCCACAGACCGTTAAACCAGCCACGGAGAGAAACAGGCAGATTGGCCTTCCAGAGTGCGACATGAGGGCATTCCTTTTTTATGTACATCACCCAAGCCCACTGGTGGGCACCCCTCTGTTCCCTTGGTCCCCAGCAAGATGCCAAGAAGTGATTGAGGCCTGGGGCTCCCTGGAGACTTCTCAACACTCATCCTTCCCCAGGGATAGCATTTAAGCTCATGAATCCCACGAAAGCTGACCCAATGCACTTGTTTAGCATCTTGGTATCATTTGATTTGAGGAAATTGAAAGAGCATATGATGGCTGGGCATGGTGGCTCAGGCCTGTAATTCCAGCACTTTGGGAGGCTGGGGTGGGTGAATGGCCTGAGGTCGGGAGTTCAAGACCAGCTTGGCCAACATAGTGAAACCCCGTCTGTACCAAAATACAAAAATTAGCTGAACATCGTGGCACACACCTGTTATCCCAGCTACTTGGGAGGCTGAAGCAGGAGAATCACTTGAACCTGGGAGGCAGAGGTTGCAGTGAACCAAGATCCTGCTATTGCACTCTAGCCTGAGTGACAAGAGCGAAACTCCATCTCAAAAAAAAAAAGTGATGGTGAGACACACGTTTTGCATAGAAATGTTGGCTGAGATAGTCCAGGAGAATCTCTGTGAGCTGACTTCTTACCTAGAGTGGAGGGGTGGATGGAAGTGGCTGTTCCTACACACCCACACTGCCTGTGTAAAACCGTGGGCTGCCTGCATCACACACGCAAGGCTGTTTGATTCTCATACAACCCAAAGACAAAGGTGTAACCCCTTTTCAACAGTGACAGTGCTGAGGCTGAGAGCAGCAAAGGAATTCATAACCAGTCAATGGGGGTACTGAGACCAGGCTGGGTCTGAAGTGGGTTGTATCCGCTCTGTGCTCACAGAATGAGGCTCAAGAGCTCATCTAAACCCCTCCTTTCATTTTTACTTATTTATATTTTGAGACAGAGTCTCGCTCTGTTGCTCAGGCTGGAGTGCAGTGCCGTGATCCCGGCTCACTGCAACTTCCCTCTCCCAGGTTCAAGTGATTCTCCTGTCTCAGCTTCCCGAGTAGCTGTGACTATTGGCATGTGCCACCACACCCAGCTAACTTTTTTTTTTTTTTTTAGTAGATAATGGGGTTTCACCACATAGCCCAGGCTGGTCTCAAACTCCTGAGCTCAAGTGATCCACCCATCTCAGCCTCCTGGGGTGATGGGATTACAGGGGTGAGCCACTGTGCCCAGCCCAAAACCCCTCATCTTATATCTAAGGAAACAGAGAACCAGAGAGGGAGCTGACTTGCCCAAATTCACAGCAGGTTGTGCTAGAGCTTGTCCAGGCCCAGGCTCCAAATCTAGACCAGCGTTTCATCTCTAAGGTCAGATGTTACTTCTTTTACTCACTTGTTTTAAGATGCCCACAGCCTCCATAACTTATTTTTAAAAGGAGGCAACAAAGACTATTTTTAAAAGTCAATCCTTCCCTCTGGAAATCTGCCTCTGCCTTCATCGTGGTCTCTGCTGGGTTTCCATTAGGCTGCAACTCAAGCTACCGATGCCTCCGTTTCCTGTCGTTTTCAAAGAAATTTTGTAAAGCAGCAGCTGTATTATTCCAGCAGGGCCTGATCACCTCTCCCCACCCAGCGCTGGTAAAAATGACCCACTTTCCCCCATCGTCCCAGCCTGAAAGGCCAAGATGCTGAATGACATGGGCTGGCTTTCTTTTTC